AGCCGCCCCCCGCGGTCGCCCCACGGGGAGCGTTTCAGGATAAGCTGCTTATCCTGAAAAGCACAAACTGCCCCAAACAGACCCTATATTTACAAAAGAGCATGCAATACCAATTAATGTCAAAACAGAAAACATTCTGTGATATTAGAAGCATACTCTGCTAGAAACATGATCATTTTTGCCTTCCTCTAAATAATAATGTCTTCAACAAACAGATGCAGAAAAATTACTATTGATACATCAGAAAAGGTAACAAAAACCTGTTTAATGATGCCACCAGCATGATTATGAAAAATATAACAGCATCATACAGAAGGGGAATCATCATCATTCAGATTTATTTTGTGGTACAGGGTTGAGGGCCTCCAGATCTCTCCTAAACCTGTCCTTCAGCTTTTCGATCTCATCGAGCCGCGATTGCTGAAGTTTATACAAGAGAGAACTGATTGTGAGAAAGAATAGGGATCATGAGAACAATAGCTGGGGGATTTACATAAATGTCGTGGGATTCTTATGTATTTACATATCTAATGTCTAAAGTTTATTATTTACTTCGATTAACTTCATGTCAAAAATACCACCATTACTAACTTTTTAAGAAAATTTTATATATATACAAAATAATGCAATAATATATGTGTGTGTGTATATATATATAGGCTTCTAAAGAGGAGAAACTAGACCTCATAAAAAACGAGCTCAATAAAATATACAAAATAATGCAATAATATATGTGTGTGTGTATATATATATAGGCTTCTAAAGAGGAGAAACTAGACCTCATAAAAAACGAGCTCAATAAAATATACAAAATAATGCAATAATATATGTGTGTGTGTATATATATATAGGCTTCTAAAGAGGAGAAACTAGACCTCATAAAAAACGAGCTCAATAAAATATACAAAATAATGCAATAATATATGTGTGTGTGTATATATATATAGGCTTCTAAAGAGGAGAAACTAGACCTCATAAAAAACGAGCTCAATAAAATATACAAAATAATGCAATAATATATGTGTGTGTGTATATATATATAGGCTTCTAAAGAGGAGAAACTAGACCTCATAAAAAACGAGCTCAATAAAATATACAAAATAATGCAATAATATATGTGTGTGTGTATATATATATAGGCTTCTAAAGAGGAGAAACTAGACCTCATAAAAAACGAGCTCAATAAAATATACAAAATAATGCAATAATATATGTGTGTGTGTATATATATATAGGCTTCTAAAGAGGAGAAACTAGACCTCATAAAAAACGAGCTCAATAAAATATACAAAATAATGCAATAATATATGTGTGTGTGTATATATATATAGGCTTCTAAAGAGGAGAAACTAGACCTCATAAAAAACGAGCTCAATAAAATATACAAAATAATGCAATAATATATGTGTGTGTGTATATATATATAGGCTTCTAAAGAGGAGAAACTAGACCTCATAAAAAACGAGCTCAATAAAATATACAAAATAATGCAATAATATATGTGTGTGTGTATATATATATAGGCTTCTAAAGAGGAGAAACTAGACCTCATAAAAAACGAGCTCAATAAAATATACAAAATAATGCAATAATATATGTGTGTGTGTATATATATATAGGCTTCTAAAGAGGAGAAACTAGACCTCATAAAAAACGAGCTCAATAAAATATACAAAATAATGCAATAATATATGTGTGTGTGTATATATATATAGGCTTCTAAAGAGGAGAAACTAGACCTCATAAAAAACGAGCTCAATAAAATATACAAAATAATGCAATAATATATGTGTGTGTGTATATATATATAGGCTTCTAAAGAGGAGAAACTAGACCTCATAAAAAACGAGCTCAATAAAATATACAAAATAATGCAATAATATATGTGTGTGTGTATATATATATAGGCTTCTAAAGAGGAGAAACTAGACCTCATAAAAAACGAGCTCAATAAAATATACAAAATAATGCAATAATATATGTGTGTGTGTATATATATATAGGCTTCTAAAGAGGAGAAACTAGACCTCATAAAAAACGAGCTCAATAAAATATACAAAATAATGCAATAATATATGTGTGTGTGTATATATATATAGGCTTCTAAAGAGGAGAAACTAGACCTCATAAAAAACGAGCTCAATAAAATATACAAAATAATGCAATAATATATGTGTGTGTGTATATATATATAGGCTTCTAAAGAGGAGAAACTAGACCTCATAAAAAACGAGCTCAATAAAATATACAAAATAATGCAATAATATATGTGTGTGTGTATATATATATAGGCTTCTAAAGAGGAGAAACTAGACCTCATAAAAAACGAGCTCAATAAAATATACAAAATAATGCAATAATATATGTGTGTGTGTATATATATATAGGCTTCTAAAGAGGAGAAACTAGACCTCATAAAAAACGAGCTCAATAAAATATACAAAATAATGCAATAATATATGTGTGTGTGTATATATATATAGGCTTCTAAAGAGGAGAAACTAGACCTCATAAAAAACGAGCTCAATAAAATATACAAAATAATGCAATAATATATGTGTGTGTGTATATATATATAGGCTTCTAAAGAGGAGAAACTAGACCTCATAAAAAACGAGCTCAATAAAATATACAAAATAATGCAATAATATATGTGTGTGTGTATATATATATAGGCTTCTAAAGAGGAGAAACTAGACCTCATAAAAAACGAGCTCAATAAAATATACAAAATAATGCAATAATATATGTGTGTGTGTATATATATATAGGCTTCTAAAGAGGAGAAACTAGACCTCATAAAAAACGAGCTCAATAAAATATACAAAATAATGCAATAATATATGTGTGTGTGTATATATATATAGGCTTCTAAAGAGGAGAAACTAGACCTCATAAAAAACGAGCTCAATAAAATATACAAAATAATGCAATAATATATGTGTGTGTGTATATATATATAGGCTTCTAAAGAGGAGAAACTAGACCTCATAAAAAACGAGCTCAATAAAATATACAAAATAATGCAATAATATATGTGTGTGTGTATATATATATAGGCTTCTAAAGAGGAGAAACTAGACCTCATAAAAAACGAGCTCAATAAAATATACAAAATAATGCAATAATATATGTGTGTGTGTATATATATATAGGCTTCTAAAGAGGAGAAACTAGACCTCATAAAAAACGAGCTCAATAAAATATACAAAATAATGCAATAATATATGTGTGTGTGTATATATATATAGGCTTCTAAAGAGGAGAAACTAGACCTCATAAAAAACGAGCTCAATAAAATATACAAAATAATGCAATAATATATGTGTGTGTGTATATATATATAGGCTTCTAAAGAGGAGAAACTAGACCTCATAAAAAACGAGCTCAATAAAATATACAAAATAATGCAATAATATATGTGTGTGTGTATATATATATAGGCTTCTAAAGAGGAGAAACTAGACCTCATAAAAAACGAGCTCAATAAAATATACAAAATAATGCAATAATATATGTGTGTGTGTATATATATATAGGCTTCTAAAGAGGAGAAACTAGACCTCATAAAAAACGAGCTCAATAAAATATACAAAATAATGCAATAATATATGTGTGTGTGTATATATATATAGGCTTCTAAAGAGGAGAAACTAGACCTCATAAAAAACGAGCTCAATAAAATATACAAAATAATGCAATAATATATGTGTGTGTGTATATATATATAGGCTTCTAAAGAGGAGAAACTAGACCTCATAAAAAACGAGCTCAATAAAATATACAAAATAATGCAATAATATATGTGTGTGTGTATATATATATAGGCTTCTAAAGAGGAGAAACTAGACCTCATAAAAAACGAGCTCAATAAAATATACAAAATAATGCAATAATATATGTGTGTGTGTATATATATATAGGCTTCTAAAGAGGAGAAACTAGACCTCATAAAAAACGAGCTCAATAAAATATACAAAATAATGCAATAATATATGTGTGTGTGTATATATATATAGGCTTCTAAAGAGGAGAAACTAGACCTCATAAAAAACGAGCTCAATAAAATATACAAAATAATGCAATAATATATGTGTGTGTGTATATATATATAGGCTTCTAAAGAGGAGAAACTAGACCTCATAAAAAACGAGCTCAATAAAATATACAAAATAATGCAATAATATATGTGTGTGTGTATATATATATAGGCTTCTAAAGAGGAGAAACTAGACCTCATAAAAAACGAGCTCAATAAAATATACAAAATAATGCAATAATATATGTGTGTGTGTATATATATATAGGCTTCTAAAGAGGAGAAACTAGACCTCATAAAAAACGAGCTCAATAAAATATACAAAATAATGCAATAATATATGTGTGTGTGTATATATATATAGGCTTCTAAAGAGGAGAAACTAGACCTCATAAAAAACGAGCTCAATAAAATATACAAAATAATGCAATAATATATGTGTGTGTGTATATATATATAGGCTTCTAAAGAGGAGAAACTAGACCTCATAAAAAACGAGCTCAATAAAATATACAAAATAATGCAATAATATATGTGTGTGTGTATATATATATAGGCTTCTAAAGAGGAGAAACTAGACCTCATAAAAAACGAGCTCAATAAAATATACAAAATAATGCAATAATATATGTGTGTGTGTATATATATATAGGCTTCTAAAGAGGAGAAACTAGACCTCATAAAAAACGAGCTCAATAAAATATACAAAATAATGCAATAATATATGTGTGTGTGTATATATATATAGGCTTCTAAAGAGGAGAAACTAGACCTCATAAAAAACGAGCTCAATAAAATATACAAAATAATGCAATAATATATGTGTGTGTGTATATATATATAGGCTTCTAAAGAGGAGAAACTAGACCTCATAAAAAACGAGCTCAATAAAATATACAAAATAATGCAATAATATATGTGTGTGTGTATATATATATAGGCTTCTAAAGAGGAGAAACTAGACCTCATAAAAAACGAGCTCAATAAAATATACAAAATAATGCAATAATATATGTGTGTGTGTATATATATATAGGCTTCTAAAGAGGAGAAACTAGACCTCATAAAAAACGAGCTCAATAAAATATACAAAATAATGCAATAATATATGTGTGTGTGTATATATATATAGGCTTCTAAAGAGGAGAAACTAGACCTCATAAAAAACGAGCTCAATAAAATATACAAAATAATGCAATAATATATGTGTGTGTGTATATATATATAGGCTTCTAAAGAGGAGAAACTAGACCTCATAAAAAACGAGCTCAATAAAATATACAAAATAATGCAATAATATATGTGTGTGTGTATATATATATATATATATATATATCATACAACCATTGTCTGCCTAAACTAACATAAGCAACATTCATGA